CTTTTTAACCCCTTCAGCTTGTTTGGCAAAAGTGCACGATAATGATCACGCCTTTTGTTGGGTAAAAGGCGCACGGTATCGTATCGACTGAAGCCCTCAAAACAAACAATCAATTTGACCATTATCTTCAATGAGCTCTGGATCCTGCTGATTGCACCGAATTCGTTCGCTCGTTGGATACATGCGTGCGCTTTTGTACCAGGAGTAGACAGCTGGATCCCCAGTCTCCGGATACATGCGTGCGCTTTTGTACTAGGAGTAGACAGCTGGATCCTCAGTCTCCGGATACATGCGTGCGCGGATCATCCGAGCAGAACTATTGATGGGCTGCCCGTAATCACGCTTTGGAGCGAATGGGCGAATGCTGCAGCTGCTTGATCGTGTTCTTCAGATGTTCGTTCTCAGACTAGCCTCCCTGGCGCTGAACGTATCGAGTCTCGGTGTAAAGTTGCATTCGAAGCTTGTGCTTTCTGACGACGGGTACAAGCCATGCTCGACATTCGAGACTTTTCCTGAAGACATTGTCTCATGGCATGGAAAAAATGAGCTACGAGACCTCACAATTGCTTTTGCCTCCTGCGTCCTACCGCCGAGCCACAACCCACGCCACTCCATTCCCTCCACCATCAAGATGTCGCCAGCTCTTCCGCGTTTGTCGGTGGTCTGCTCTGCGCTGTTGCTTTCGCTCTCGCACGGCACGCAACTTTTCGGAAACGACGCGTCAGTTGTCCAAACCGAGGCGACAAAGTCATGGCCAGGTCTGATCGTCAACGTCACGCATCAGACGGCGCCTTTTCCGTTCAACTCGTTTGTCTTGTACGCCAACCCAGTCGTGACGGAGGACGGGGCCAAGGTGCTGTACGACGTCAACGCAGAATTCAAGGTCGTCAATTCTGCGTACCAGAAGTGGATGTACTACGTGCAGACTGATGGGTACGCGATGTCCGGTGACAGCTACGACCAGACCACGTGTATGGAATGGGAAGCCTACCCGTACGCACTTCCGGCGGTGAACGCCATTGCCACTGCACTCATGGGACTTTCGCCTGGTGCTGAACCAGACGGTCACGACTGCCCGGGACACAAGTACTTCTTCCAACTTTTCAAAACCAGCCACACCGTGTGTGAAACGAATCCTGGCAAGATGATCACGATTACTGGAAACAACCTGGTCCTCACCGTGTCGTACGCGGACAAGATGAACTTGAAAAGGAACGGTGGTAGCAGTGCTGGGTGTAAGCCCGTGGCATTCCCAGCTTCTGTGGCGCCGATCGGCAAGTCGTTGCTGACTGGACAAAGCCTTCCGCGTACATCGTAGTGCGCTGGAAGGAGCGGGAAGCTCACTTGCTTGCCAGTGGCTGTAAGCATGAGTACATCTTCTGTGGCTGCCTCTCACTTCCGGAGTAACTCGGCAGAAGCAATAAAAAGGGTTTTGCAGCCAAAGTACTTGTCATCGAGGTATGTGAAACGTGGTGTGTTTGTTTTGTCTTGTCTGTAGTGAAAGGGACCCCACACCACCTCACTTGACATGAGCGCGAGATGCGACAAGTGAGCCTAGGTTATCGTTCCTATCATGTACAGTCGATCAAAAGTCACAAGTTGGGACAACACAGTAATTTCTACAGTGTCGTTTTCTCTATCGATTACGATCGGCCGGGACAACAGCCCAAAATTGACCAAGCTACAACATGTACATAGGAGTGGTAAGTAATAAATTGACAAAGTAAGCAGAGACTCGAATTCAGTACTTGTCTGAACGTTCGTAGTTGACCGGATTGCGCTACGGATGTACGAAACACTCACCAAGAATTCCGTGACTTGACGCGCGTGTTGTGGTTCCATCGAGCTGGGTCGGAGAGGATAGTACTTTGATTGGCTCGTATCGACTTGAATTGCAGAGCTGCTCCACGGTTGCTTGACGCAGCTTTGACACGCTCTACGTCACACAAAAGGATCAAACAGATACCACACAGAGCTTCTGTGAGCGAGCACCGAAGCGGTGCAAATAGCAGCAAGCACGACCAGGAAGAACGTAGAAGAGGGAAAGCAAGAGTAGCGACCGACCAGGACAGCTGAGTGGAATGGAGATTACATAGAGTTTGTGGAGAGAGCCACTGCCCCCGGTGGTGCGATCAGCGAGTTGTACGGCGTTCAACTTCTGTAACATAAGGACTTGAGTGCACAAGCTGATTGCGAGCCCGAAGGGTGAAGCTGGTAGTGACTGTGCGCAAGGTTGAATGCCAAGCTTTTAATTCGCACTTATCTGTCTTTGTGTGTCTGTAAATAACACGACTAGGTGTAGCTTACCCGTTCGAAATGCGATAGCCTGACCCCACGAGGGCTCCTTCCCGCGCAGGATGGGACACAAAATACTGCGGCACGAGATCATTGAACATTTAACACGACATGTATTTTGTAACGACCAGATCTGTAGACACATTATCGCATCCATGTGCGTCGATGGCACTTAAGAATGAAGAGCGTAATAAACCAGTAAAATTCTTCTCTTTGTGATCGATGCCTACCTGCTACAAGAAGGGTAGAAGCTCAAGGCCTTATCCACTTCATCCCAGTCGGTTTTGCTGATTGCAGACTCATACAAGAAGATCCGTTTTAACGTGGGTCGTAACAGCATTGTAACGGAGCACCCTGAAGCTTGTACTGATGACAGTACAAGCTACTTATTCTGATGACAGAATAAGGCGGTGCCTCGGAACTTCACGTACACTGGTACGTGCAGAGCAAGACGGTAAGAAGAAGCGAGTACTTGGTTAGAGTAAAAAGTAGAACTGTATTTATCATAGTTAATGTCTGCAATAAATCACTATTTATCCTCATCTAACTATGTCTAAATGCAAATGTGCAAATCAACTATCTGCTCACCACTCATTGCGTGCGTCTGTCGTGGCGCGTCTTCGTTGGTTAATACAATGGCCTATATCAACCAATTAGGAACTACTCGAAAGTTCTGCAGAGTCTTTGTCCTCATGACAATATTCTGAGAATTTAACTCTTCTAGTTATATTCTATTAACAATTTCTTGTAAATTGTTATGTAACGGTTCACCCCGTTACATCACCCCCCCCCTTAACCATCAGTCACTTTAGTGACTGATTGACTAAATGGATACTCGTCCCAAATCATTTGGGACAGGGTTTGCACTTGTTGGTCCGAGTCCATTTTCCAACAATTCATCGCATGGTTAACAAGCCCATGCGGTGCGCGAACAAGGCCGCTGAGAGCGCGTCTGCACGTCTCTGTTCGGACGCCGAAGCAGAAACCGCTGCAACTGATGTCTCATCGGTTGCTGAAGCGACTCAGCCTGTGTCACTTGGTGATGCAGACGCTGGTCATGAAGACACTCGTGTCTTCACAGAGTATGAGCTCGGTGTCTCATACTCTCCTGATGCGGAAGACGGATCCGTATCGACGGCGATCGAGTTCAAGCCGCCTGCCAAGCGTGGCATGGATGATGCTACGCGTCGAAGCATCTTTGGTTCATCTGACGAATCAGATGAACCATCTCCGAAGCGAAGGCGCTCGAGGTCGCGAGACTCGGGCGCTAACAGTGGTGTCAGTTCTCCTATTGACACCACTTCGCAACGAGGTACCAGTCCTTCTATCGGCACGTCGCGAGAAGAGCGGGACCGCAATGTGTTGCGTCTTGCTCCCGAGAAGAAGGCATGGATGCCTCCTAAATCCGTCATGGATCACTTGTCGGCGACGACGAGTGATCGTTATCGAACACGATTGTTCGATTCATCAAGGATTCATCACCTTGACTCCAGCGCGAAAAACTATCGCGCGGAAAATGAATTCTTCATCGATGCTTTCTTTAAACGTCGATGATACAGTGGGAATCACAAACGTGATGGTCCCTCCCTGCTTCAAGCGTGTAACGCCTACATCCATAACCTTGAGGATGTAGGTCGTGACGCTTGGAACGACAAACTTATCAAAGCTCGTGATAAGTTTGAAAAGCGAACCCCGACAGGTGCACGCTATAAGCTGCATCGTCTGTCTAAGGAGAGTGGGTTATCCTTTCTTTTCTGGGGAGACTCGTGCCCTTGTTGTGTAAACAACTCTGCGCGCGCACCTAAGGAGGCTTACCTCCTTACTAGCCTGTGGTGGCGCGTACGTAGCCTCAAGGTGATCGGGGGTGCACCGATCCCTGTATATGTGGGGTGGTAAGGTAAGAAAAAAAACTAATCTTATTGTTGGAAACGACGCTGTAAGGTTAAAGACCCACGCCTTCTGTGTGTCGATCCTCTATGAACTGGTATTGGAAACAAGGGTACTTTACCGTTTATAGACCAAGGAGCGCAGTCGTATGTTTTGCTGTGGTATGGCTAATACTAATCAATCTAACATCTTGTTTTGGTCGCGGAGAAAGGTAACGACGTCTACTATTGGGAAGAGGAGCTAGGTAAGTTCGACGGGTTAGTTAGTACTACAGAAGCAATAGTTTAGAACGACACAAGGGTTAGCAAACTAATTTTAATATCAAATAGAATCGTCGGGGAGGTTTTGTTGATTGTTTTGTGGCACCAACTTCTGTTTAAATTGGCGGTTGAGTTGGCAGACTAATTCTGCTATTGAAAGGGATAGTTGGGGAAGCTCTGTTGATCCGTTATTGTTATCAATTAATTGTTTGGATTGGCAATAAAGTTAGCTTTCTAATTCTGTTATTGAAAAGAATGGTTCGTGAAGTATCATTTAATATCTACTGAGATGTACGAAGGGATTGACAACCAAAAATCCCTTTACGACCGTGCCAGGAAGACTTTCTCCGGCGGTCCTTCTGCGGCATAGGATGTGACCCGTCGTACTGCTCAACCAGACCCAGTACGTCAATCATCAGTTGGGAGCGGGGCTACCAAGTATCCCAGGACGGAGATAACTGCGCCACCGGACGAGGTAACTCGTCCGACGTCCTTTCACGTCGCGGTGGTTCAACAGCTGCTCAACTAGATAGCGCTGACCACCGCAGGAGTCCTCTAATGGAGGTGGAGGAGGAGGAAAGACGCTCTCCGCACGATCGTGGGGATCCCTGTGTTCCCGAGAGCTTCTTTGATCGCGTAACTCTTGCGTTACGCGACGACCTCGAGCATGAGCGGAATAGGCGTCTCCAGATGGTGGACACTGCCTCGAAGCATCGAGCTGAGTTTGCCTTTGCTCAGCTTGAGAACGAGAGATCTCTGACATCTCTGCGTGACGAGCTAAGGGTAGCTCGTGGGACTGTTGATCGGTATCGGGATGAGATAGCTGCTCTTCAGACCCTTGTCGATGCCCGCCATCGGGAGCACAAGGATCTCTGCGAGATGCTTGAGCGCAAGGGCGTTCTTCATCGGAAGAAGCAGCGTACTGATGGTACGGCTTAAGCCGACCAACGTAAAACGTAGGATGCGTTCGCATCTTACGTGGCAGTTCGATCGTGTATGCATTGCCTAGGCGGTGCAATACACGAAATGGGCCAATGTACTTGGGTAGTAGTTTACTGCTACCCAAGTTAGTCACTACATGCTTTGGTAGATTAACCGTAGACAGTAGGACTAAGTCACCTTTATTAAATAAAAGAGTGTTTGCCCTTCCATTCTTGTCAGCGTTTTACTTTTGCTTATCCACCGCTTCGGCGATGGAGTCTTGCACAAAACGGACTACCGTTTCACGAGCCAGTATGAACTCATCTGATGACTCGTTAGCTTCAGTGCGCTGTGAGTGCACTGCAGCAACATCAACCTTTTCTTCAGTGAGGGCTTCCGCGCTCTCACTGGCATCATCTTCTTCGATATCGATGTTATCGATATCGGCATCAAACGCAGTGACTTCTTCGTCAGAGCGTGATGAGAGTGAACCAAATCGGTTTTTGATCGCGCGACTCTTTCCCCCCCTGAAACCAGAGTTGCACTCGAGTAAGGTGGGTACTCGCGGATGGTGCAAGCCATTCACGTAAAACGGTGTATGTGTCGTGGACGCATGCACCGAGTTGTTAATGACAAACTCTACCATTGGCAAAAACTCACTCCAACTATTAAAGGAGTGTACGTATCCTCGAAGTATCTCTTCAAGGACACGGTTGGCACGTTCCGTCTGACCCTCTGACTCTGGTTGATCAGATGTTGACATCTTCAAGCGCGTTCCGAGTGATTTGAACACGGAACGCCAGAAATCAGCAGTGAATCGTGGATCTCTGTCTGATACGAGTTCACGGGGCAACCCATGAAGTCGGAAGATGGTGTAGATAAAGACACAAGCACAGCCACTTGCCGTGATTGACTCGGGTACAGCCACAAGGTGTACCATTTTGCTGAATCTGTCAACAAATACGAGAATACCCGTATTCCCGCGTGCGTCTTTGGGTAACACGAAGACGAATCCATTGAGATGGATTCCCAGCACTCAGCCGGAACCGGTAGAGGCTGTAAAGGTGCACGCAGTGAAGGACTTGACTTCACTCGTTGGCAGACTTCGCATGCGCGAACATACTTTCGCACAAACTGATACTGGCGGGGCCAGTAAAAGTCCCGACTCACCTTGAGATATGTTTTCTCTCGGCCACGATGTCCTCCTATAGGAGCATCGTGATGCTCGAACATGATCCCCATACGCAGATCAGTATCATCTGGAATGACAACACGTGGTGTGTCACCAGAAACGGCTATCTAATACAGTAAACCGTTGCGAGTAGTGTATAGATCTCATGCAGATCGATACGCAGACGATAATCGTTTCAACGATTATCGAGATGGCTATGAGAGATGTGTAAACAACTTCACAATCTCACGATCTTGGCATACGCCCGCCTCACACCATCATGCAACGTTTTAGATGGTACTGAGGACGTCATAACCGCAACAGTGACTGTCTCACTGTTGAGTTTCATGACTGGTACAAAGTCGGGACGACGTGAGAGTGCATCAGCGACGACATTAAGTCGTCCTGGTTTGTACTCTACCGTAAAGTTGTATTCTGCAAAGAATGACAACCACCGCGCCAATCGTTGTGAAAGGTGCGGGCTGTTCACTGCCGTGCGTTATGACGCATGGTCAGTGTAAACAATGAAGGGTCTATCTCCTAATAGATAGACTCTGAACTTTGCGAGTGCATAATTCATGGCAAGGAGTTCCTTGTCATGCACTGGATAGTTCCGCTCAGCCGGTTGCAGCTGATGCGACTGATAGCAGACGATGCGTTCAACGATTTCAAGATCGTACTGCATTAATGCACAGCCGATTGCGAAATCGCTGGCATCACAGACCACATGAAATGGCCTATCCTGATCGGCAATTTCCAGGACTGGGGATTGTATCAAGCTCTGCTTGATACCCTCAAAGGAGCGTTGACATTCAGCGTTCCATAACCACCTCTCGTTCTTTTTCAACAAACGAGAGAGGTGTACAGTCATCTCGGAGTAATTGCGTGAATACTTATGCAAATACGCCGCGAGCCCAAGGAATTTTCGAAGACCTTTGACATCAACCGGCACAGGCCAGTCGGTGATCGCCTTGATCTTTTCGGGATCAGGGCGCACATCGTTCTTACCAACGATGCACCCAAGAAGTGGTATTTCGCTTGCTGCAAATATACACTTCTTGAGATTGGCATACAATTGATGCTTTTTCATGATTGTAAGAACCCGTCGGACGTGGTATCTGTGAACCTCAACGTCCGACTTTCCGTCCATAGCTCGACTATGGATGAATACGTCATCGAAATAACTCGGTGCGAATTCTCGTACTGGTCTCAACAGATGTGTATCACACCTGTTGAACGTGGCAGGGGCATTACTGAGCCCTTGTGGCATTACTAGCCATTCCCAGAGCATGCCGCTAGGCGTGCTAACTGCGGTATAGGGTATATCCCGTTCCCGCATTAGGATTTGATAGAAGCCATCCATCAAATCCATGGACGAAAAGATGGTACTCTTTGACATACCATCAATGATTACGTCCTTCCTCGGTATCGGCGTCTGAGCCGGTACCGTTGCAGCGTTCAATTTTTTGAACGCGTGCACTATCCGCCACCCTCTGCTCCTGTGCTTTTCGCACACAGAAGGTCGGAGAGCTATGCGGGGAAGTTGATTCCCTCACATGGCCCGCAGCTAAACGATCGGCAAAGAACTTGTCGATCGCAAGTACTTGTTCACTAGGCAGTGGCCACTGCTTCATGACACAGTACTTCGAGCCTGGTTAAAGTCTCGACCTCGTGTCGAATACCTTTATCCTTCGGTAATTCGCACGGAACAGTTTCAGGGAATACATCCTTGAATTCAACCAAATCTTCATAGAGAGGATTTGTCTTGAGCGATTCCCATGATTTGGAGTCATATCGCTCAATTCGTGTCTTTTCATCTAGGACACTCTCGTCCATAGATCAACTACTGAGAACTCTCTCGTTCTCAGTAAACACTGTTGCTGACCTTATGTCGGTTGCACACTCGTCGTCAGCGACGAGTATGCAGATCTGCTTGACTTTGCCACTACGCAGATCACGCAAGAACCTTTTATGTTCGAGCGTTGGCAACTGAGTGATCTCCGAAGTTAACTTCGGAGGCGCAATCAGATCAAGTGTATAAGCGCCTACACATGATCCGTTATTGACTATGACATTCAATGTCTCTGTCATTTCCTGGGGACTTATTCCCTCAGGCTTCGAAGGACTTATTCCTTCGTCTTCCCGGGGACTTATTCCCGCGGGTTTCGGGGAACTTATTTCCGCCGTATTTGTAATCTTGGGACTTATTCCCTTTACTTCCTCTAGCTGGGGTTGCGCAACCACAGCGAGATCCTCTACGAAAGACTCTCCAGTCGATTTAGGATTATCGTTTCGCTTAACCTGAGCGATCGATTGTTTCTCTTCTAGATGTTCCCCGCTATGGATACATCTTTGTCCCGGTCCACTCGACTTATTCGAGTGGTGGACCTTCGGCGCAGCCTGTGTTTCCTCACAGCTGCTGGAACTTTGCTCCGAAGTGTAACCGTTTGGTACACTAAGGTTTTGTGCAGTCGTACTAACGACCGTATCACAAGTGAAGCCATCGCACTCACTCGTAGTACATTCACACGCTTGTGGACGCTCCAAAACGTTCATCAGATGGCCATCTGATGAACAAGCGGCAGGCATCGTTACTGTTCGATGTTGCCAGTTTACCCGTGGTTCGTACCTTCTGAGCCACGGTATTCCAAGGATGACATCAAATTTGTCATCCAAATTCAATACGATAAAGTCATCGTCATATTGGGTATCTTCTAGCGTATAGCGAATCTTCACTATACGCTTCATGACGGTTACGGATGCGCCTGTCGCAAGACGTACCGTCATCCTCGTAGGAGGTGTGTCACATTCACTGAATTTAAAGTGACCATCTTCTAGCGATTGGCGTCACACAAAATTGTTGGACGCCCCACAATCGACTAGAGCTCGAAGGGACAACTTATTTGTCACTTCGAGTTTCAAGGTAATGAGTGAGAGCTCATTACCTAGTGCAGCAACGCACAATATTTGTGTGTTGGGAGCAACCTTCAACAAGAGACCGGCAAATTCTCTTGACGTTGCTGGACCAGTAGGGTGCTCCGCACCTACTGATCCTGTCCGTTTTTTTACGGTCCATCCCGTCGTTGCGTCTTTGCACCAACAGCGGACCCGCGTCCCTGCACCTTTCTCATGGGTGGACGGTCACTACGCCCAGTGTTGCGAGACACTGGACGAGGCGCACTACACTCGTAAGCGTAGTGTCCTGTCTTTTGACATCTGTTGCATCTCTGCAACTTCTTGTAGTCTGTAGAGCGAGCCTTCTCGCTCTCTACATAACAGAGTTCCATCGACTCTGGACCTCCGTTGTCATATCGTCTCGGTTGACGATATGATGTCGAGCTGGCGCGAGCCTGTCTCAGACTGAAGTCTTCCTGCTCCGCAATGGAAATGGCTTGTTCTAGTGAATCTAGTTCAAGCCGGAACAGGTGAGTCTTGACGGGACCATCCGCAAGACCCTGCATGAACACCGAAACCAACGTGTGTTCATCCACTGGATTGGAACTTATACAACTCGTAAGATGTCGTATGTGTTGAGCGTAAGCGTGCACATCACGCTTACTCTGTTTGAGCTTCAAGAGTTCGGTTCGAGCTCTGAACTCAGCTCTAGGCGGTTCAAACGTTTGTCTGAGCCGCGACTTGAAGACTTCTAACGACCCAAACGCATGTGGGTCGTGCAACTTGAGCCCCAAAGCCCAAGTCTTGGCACGTCCTGCCAGATTCGACTGGGCAAATGCAACTTGTATTTCCCCGTCGTCGATACGACGCGCCCTTATGGCGTCATCCAATTCGACGAACCATCTCAAGAGGGAGTCCTCTTCGACTTCCCTATACTTGGAGATGTCGATCTTCAAGGTCTCGGGTCGACGCGAATGCATCGACCCACCAGCAGCAGCGTGCTGCTGTCTCAACAGTTCAAACTGTTGAGCACCCTGATTTCTCCCAACGACTCTGCTTGTTGAGAACCTTGTTGGTGAAGCAAGGCTACTTTCTCGCGTTCTGCGTCAAGTTCGTTTTGAATCAACTTGGCGACAGTAGCATGTTAGGCATCTCTATTGAGAGCCACTAGCATGACGCTAACAGCATGGATGCCCATGGTTGAACCCATCCGTTCAACCGCATCCCATTCGACATCGCTTAAATGGGAGTAGCCGTCGCGCGTAGCGTGAAAGCTTTGGTCATATTCGTCATCCAACATATTCATGTTGGACGTGAACGTGGTCCTTTGGACGGACTACGAAGTGCTACCAGGTGTAACGGGGCACCCTGAAGCTTGTACTGATGACAGTACAAGCTACTTATTCTGATAACAGAATAAGGCGGTGCCTCGTAACTTCACGTACACTGGTACGTGCAGAGCAAGACGGTAAGAAGAAGCGAGTACTTGGTTAAAGTAAAACGTAGAACTGTGTTTATAATAGTTAATGTCTGCAATAAACCACTGTTTATCCTCATCTAACTATGTCTAAATGCAAATGTGTGCATCAACTATCTGCTCACCACTCATTGCGTACGTCTGTCGTGGCGCGTCTGTCGTGGCGCGTCTTCGTTGGTTAATATAATGGCCTATATCAACCAATTAGGAACTAATCGAAAGTGCTGCAGAATATTGTCCTCATGACAATATTCTGAGAATATAACTCTTCTAGTTATATTCTATAAGCAATTTCTTATAAATTGTTATGTAACGGTTCACCCCGTTACAAGCATGACTAATGTTACGGGGCACCCTGAAGCTTGTACTGGTGACAGTACAAGCTACTTATTCTGATAACAGAATAAGGCGGTGCCTCGTAACTTCACGTACACTCTTACGTGCAGAGGAAGACGGTAAGAAGAAGCGAGTATTTGGTTAGAGTAAAAAGTAGAACTGTATTTATAATAGTTAATGTCTGCAATAAATCACTATTTATCTTCATCTAACTATGTCTAAATACAAATGTGTAAATCAGTTATCTGCTCACCACTCATTGCGTGCGTCTGTCGTGGCGCGTCTTCGTTGGTTGATATAATGGCCTATATCAACCAATTAGGAACTACTTGTAAGTGCTACAGAATATTTGTCCTTATGACAATATTCTGAGAATATAACTCTTATAGTTATATTCTATTAACAATTTCTTATAAATTGTTATGTAACGGTTCACCCCGTTACATCACCCCCCCCTTAACCATCAGTCACTTTAGTGACTGATTGACTAAATGGATACTCGTCCCAAATCATTTGGGACAGGGTTTGCACTTGTTGGTCCGCGTCCACTTTCCAACATTTCATCGCATGGTTAACAAGCCCATGCGATGCGCGAGCAAGGCCGCCGAGAGCGCGTCTGCACGTCTCTGTGCGGACGCCGAAGCAGAAACCGCTGCAACTGATGTCCCATCGGTTGCTGAAGAGACCCAGCCTGTGTCACTTGGTGACGCAGGCGCTGGTCATGAAGACACTCGTGTCTTCACAGAGTACGAGCTCGGTGTCTCATACTCTCCTGATACGGATGACGGATCCGTATCGACGGCGATTGAATCTAAGCCGCCTGCCAAGCGTGGCATGGACGATGCTTTGCGTCGCAGCATCTTTGGTTCATCTGATGAGTCAGATGAACCATCGCCGAAGCGAAGGCGCTCGAGGTCGCGAGACTCGGGCGCTAATAGTGGTGTCGGTTCTCCAATGGACACCACTTCACAGCGAGGTGCCAGTACTTCTGTCGGCACGTCGCAGGAAGAGCGGGACCGCAATGTGTTGCGTCTCGCTCCAGAAAAGAAGGCATGGATGCCTCCAAAATCAGTCATGGATCACTTGTCGGCGACGACGAGTGATCGTTATCGAACACGATTGTTCGATTCGTCAAGGATCCATCACCTTGACCCCAGCGCGAAAGACTATCGCGCTGAACATGAGTTCCTCATCGATGCTTTCTTCAGACATCGATGGTACAGTGGGAATCACAAACGTGATGGTCCCTCACTACTTCAGGCGTGGAACGCCTACATCCATAACCTCGAGGATGTAGGTCGTGACGCTTGGAACGACAAACTTATCAAAGCTCGTGATAAGTTTGAAAAGCGAACCCCGACAGGTGCACGCTACAAGCTGTATCGTCTGTCAAGGGAGAAAGGATTACCCTGCCTCTCTTGGGGAGACTCGTGCCCATGTTGTGTGAACAACTCTGCACGAGCACCTAAGGAGGCTTACCTCCTTACCAGTCCGTGGTGGCGCGTACGTATCTCTACTGAGATGTACGAAGGGATTGACAACCTGAAATCCCTTTACGACCGTGCCGGGAAGACCTTCTCCGGCGGTCCTTCTGCGGCACAGGATGTGCCGCGTCGTACTGCTCGACCAGACCCAGTACGTCAACCATCAATTGGGAGCGGGGCTCCCAAGAATCCCAGGACGGGGGATATCCGCGCCACCGGACGAGGTAACTCGTCCGACGTCCGTTCACGTCGCGGTGGTTCAACAGCTGCTCAACTAGATAGCGCTGGCCACCGCGAGAGTCCTCTAATGGAGGTGGAGGAGGAGGAAAGACGCTCTCCACACGATCATGTGGATCGGTGTGTTCCCGAGAGCTTCTTTGATCGCGTAACGCAAGGGTTACGCGACGATCTCGAGCATGAGCGGAATAGGCGTCTCCAGATGGTGGACACTGCCTCGAAGCATCGAGCTGAGTTTGCCTTTGCTCAGCTTGAGAACGAGAGATCTCTGACATCTCTTCGTGAAGAGCTAAGGGTAGCTCGTGGGATGGCTGATCGGTCTCGGGATGAGATAGCTGCTCTTCAGACCCTTGTTGATGCCCACCATCGGGAGCACAAGGCTCTCTGCGAGATGCTTGAGCGCAAGGGCGTTCTTCATCGGAAGAAGCAGCGTACTGATGGTACGGCTTAAGCCGACCAACGTAAAACGTGGGATGCGTTCGCATCTTACGTGGTAACTCGATCGTGTATGCATTGCCTAGGCGGTGCAATACACGAAATGGGGCCAATGTACTTGGGTAGTAGTTTACTGCTACCCAAGTTAGTCACTACATGCTTTGGTAGATTAATTGTAACGGGGTGAATCGTTACATAACAATTTATAAGAAATTGTTAATAGAATATAACTATAAGAGTTATATTCTCAGAATATTGTCATAAGGACAAATATTCTGTAGCACTTACAAGTAGTTCCTAATTGGTTGATATAGGCCATTATATCAACCAACGAAGACGCGCCACGACAGACGCACGCAATGAGTGGTGAGCAGATAACTGATTTACACATTTGTATTTAGACATAGTTAGATGAAGATAAATAGTGATTTATTGCAGACATTAACTATTATAAATACAGTTCTACTTTTTACTCTAACCAAGTACTCGCTTCTTCTTACCGTCTTCCTCTGCACGTACTAGTGTACGTGAAGTTACGAGGCACCGCCTTATTCTGTTATCAGAATAAGTAGCTTGTACTGTCACCAGTACAAGCTTCAGGGTGCCCCGTAACACCTGGTAGCACTTCGTAGTCCGTCCAAGGACCGCGTTCACATCCAACATGAATATGTTGGATGATGAAGATGACCAAAGCTTTCACGCTACGCGTGACGGCTACTCCCATTTGAGCGATGTCGAATGGGATGCAGTTGAACGAATGGGTTCGACCGTGGGCATCCATGCTGTTAGCGTCATGCTAGTGGCTCTCAATAGAGATGCCCAACATGCTACTATCGCCAAGTTGATTCAAAATGAACTTGACGCAGAACGCGAGAAAGTAGCCTTGCTTCACCAACAAGGTTCTCAACAAGCAGAGTTGTTGAGAGAACAAGGTGCTCAACAGTTTGAACTATTGAGACAGCAGCAGGCTGCTGCTGGCGGGTCGATGCACTCGCGTCGACCCGAGACTTTGAAGATTGACATCTCAAAGTACAGGGGGGTCGAAGAAGACTCCCTCTTGAGATGGTTCGTCGAATTGGATGACGCCATAAGGGCGCGTCGCATCGACGACGGGGAAATGCAAGTTGCATTTGCCCAGTCAAATCTGGCAGGACGTGCCAAGACTTGGGCACTGGGGCTCAAGCTGCACGACCCATATGCGTTTGGGTCGTTGGAAGTCTTCAAGTCGCGGCTCAGACAAACGTTTGAACCGCCTAGAGCTGAGTTCAGGGCTCGAACCGAACTCTTGAAGCTCAAGCAGGGTAAGCGTGATGTGCACGCTTACGCTCAACACATACGACATCTTACGAGTTGTATAAGTTCCAATCCAGTGGATGAACACACGTTGGTTTCGGTGTTCATGCAGGGTCTTGCGGATGGTCCCGTCAAGACTCACCTGTTCCGGCTTGAACTAGATTCACTAGAACAAGCCATTTCCATTGCGGAGCAGGAAGACTTCAGTCTGAGACAGGCTCGCGCCAGCTCGACATCATATCGTCAACCGAGACGATATGACAACGGAGGTCCAGAGCCGATGGAACTCTGTTATGTAGAGAGCGAGAAGGTTCGCTCTACAGGCTACAAGAAGTTGCAGAGATGCAACAGATGTCAGAAGACAGGATACTACGCTTACGAGTGTAGTGCCCCTCGTCCAGTGTCTCGCGACACTGGGCGTAGTGACCGTCCACCCATGAGAAAGGGGCAGGGACGAGGGTCCGCAGTTGGTGCAAAAACGCAACAATGTGATGGACCGTCAAAAAACGGACAGGATCAGTAGGTGCGGAGCACCCTACTGATCCAGCAACGTCAAGAGAATTTGTAGGCCTCTTGATGAAGGTTGCTCCCAACACACAGACGTTGTGCGTTGCTGCTCTAGGTAATGAGATCTCACTCATTACCTTGAAACTCGAAGTGACGAATAAGTTGTCCCTTCGAGCTCTAGTTGATTGTGGGGCGTCCAACAATTTTGTGC